CAGATCACACAGAGCATTTTAGGCCATGGTAAGGAGCTTGGTTTATATTCTAAGGATGATGGGAAGCCAATAGAAGGTTTTGAGCAGGGGCATAATGATCTGATTCACTTTCTGGCAGCTGCAATGAGACAGAACTAGAGAGGGACAAGAGTAAAATCAGGGAGATCAGTAGCAGGTAACTGCAATGACCCAGGTGTTCCTTGGCTATCTGACTCTAGTATAAAGGACAATGGCTCTGACCTACTGGGGGTGCTGAGCTCGCATCCAAATAAAGCATGTTAACCTTGCCAACGGCTCCCAGGATCTTTCCAATTACCTAGCTCACGACCTGCATATGAGGGATCTTGACCCAGTCTGTACAATGCGTTTGAAGTGTCTGTGACCCAGCCCAACAAATGGGGAGCTAAGGGACCTGTGTTACTGACACAGTCTATTACTGACATACCTCTGTGTCTGTCACTTTCTTCCTGGTACTACAGGTGACTTTCTGATAAAGTAGGTGATTCCTGAGGCTTGGTCACCTCCAGAATGAATTAATGGATAGTAACAAACACATGTTGAATGATTCTATAGCAAAAGCTAACTTCTGTAAAGGGCTTTAGCACTTTTTTTTTTTTTTTTTTTGCAGCTGGCTGGTACAGGAATTGAATTGAACCCTGGACCTCACTGTTATCAGCACCATGCTCTAACCAATTAGGCTAACTGGCCAGACCCAGGGCTTTGGCCTTTTTAATTAAGAAAATTAAGAAAAACCAAATGAAGAAAACTTGGTTTTTTTTAATATTTAACAAAGAAAATTAAGAAAAGACAGAGCCTTCCTTAATTCGTTATTTCATTTGACCCTCCCAATAAGTCTGAAAGGTAGCTATGATTAGGACATAAACTTTTTGTATCTTCTCTGATTTAATCCTTGCCATGATCTTGTGAGATAGGTATAATCTTAGGACATTTACAGCTGAGAGATGAGCAAACAAACTGAAACTTAGAAACGAACTTGCTAAAGTCACACAGTCAGTTAAAGGTAGCAGCAGCATTTGTACTCCGGTCTCCCTGAAGAGCATGAGATATACTTTGTGACTCAAATAAAGCAAACCTTTGCCTCCAAGCTTTACTAGTTTCATCAATCCAAATACCCTTAATAGAAGCCTGAGGATCTATAATCAACTACTGAGTACAGGCATTCCTTTTCTCACTCCTTCTCTTACTTTTTGGCTAAATCTAGTTGAGATTCCTATTGGTTCCACTCAATCTATAATGAATAATTTGATGGGGCAGGAGTCAAAAACAAACAAACAAACAAAACCTGTTGCTGACATCTCAATGGTATGCTTTACTCAGCAGTCAAGATACTGTGTTCCCAACTGGTAGAAAAGATTGTATTTCCAGCTACTCAGTAATTGAGGCCTTGTTCTAGGATTTGCATGACTCAGCAGAACAGAATTTGTCCTTTATCAGGAACAAAACAGTAAGGCATCAGCAAAACCTTATTACTAGGATTAGGAAACATCACTTATTAGCTCTGTGAGAGAAAAAAAGAAAGAGAGAGGGAGAAACAAATACTCATTAGGTTCTCTGAGATAGCTCTCAGTCACAAGTCCCAGTGTCTTATAGGCATAAGATTGGGACTCAAAAACCTATCATACACACACACACACACACACACACACACACACAAATCCTTCTAGAGAAGTGATGAAATCCATTTAATTTTTCATTAAACTTTGTGTTCTTAGAGGGCAGCAGCTGTGTATTGTTTATCTTAGTAGCATTTGGTCTAGAGCATGGCTCAGAATAAGCACTCAAATCTGTAGACAAATAGAATTAACAAATCTATTAAAAAGATCTCCAGAATGCCTTAGAACTGCATCATCAAATACAAGTGGTCTTCAAAAAATTCATGGAAATATTTATATTGTCTTTTAATTCTATTTTTCCACAGAATTTTTGAAGTAGCTTCATATAGTTGCCATTATCCACATGTGACAATTGGGCTCTTGAAATGGGGCTAGTCCAAATTGAATGTAGTGTAAGTGTAAAATTCACAACAGATTTGGAAAACTTAATATGAAAATAGTAATCATTAATATTTTGGATGTACAAATATTGGGTTAAATAAATTATATTACTAAAATTAATTTCACCTGTCTTCAATGTGGCTACTAAAGTATTTAAAATTCTACATGTTGGGCCGAGCCCGTGACACACTCGGGAGAGTGCAGTGCTGGGAGCGCAGCAGCGGGTTCAGATCCTATATAGGGATGACCAGTGTGCTCACAGCGTTCACTGGCTGAGCGAGGTGCTGCCGGTCTAAAAAAAAAGGACAAAAATAAAATAAAATTCTACATGTTGCTCACAGTATATTTTGATTGAACAATGCTGTTCTAGGAGACAAAATAAAGATCAGGAAAAAAGCCATTTTTAAAGGAAAGGTCAAACCAATAAATAATGACACTTTCCACACTCTTCCCTTGAATTTATCAAAAAAAAAGCTTAAGTTTCTTCCAAGATCTGCTTCTCATGGCAAACAGAGGCCATGAGAATTCTGCCTAGGTCAGAGTGGGCAGAGTCGCAGCTCATGAGCTGAAATGTGGTTTGCAATTGTGGTTGACTAGCAGAGTAACAAGCACATTTGATTTATTTTTTAAGGTGTTGTGAGGAAAATGGAGACAGAATGGTCAGGCTCCCTCACCTCATATCCGGCTGAGCATGATTCAGCTTGTCTGTTGTAAATACATTATATGAGTAATATAACTGGGCATGTGCACCCTTGTGTTCCTTGGCTATCTGATTCTAGTATAAAAGACAATGGCTCTGATCTACTGAGGGTGGGGTGGGGGGCTGAGCCCACATCCAAATAAAGCATGCCAACCTTGCCAACAGCTCCCAGAATCTTTTTCCAACTACCTAGCTCATGACCTGCACAGGACAAGTGTGAAGGGTCTGTTACCCAGCCCGACAGGTGTACAACGTGATTTTTTTCTTTTTTGCAAATAAAAATTGTATATATTTATTGCATACAACATGATGTTTTGAAATATGTATACATTGTCAAATGGCTAAATCGAGCTAATTAACATATACATTATCTCACACATCTTATTTTGTGGTGAATGTAGGTGCTCTTAAAAAAAAAAGCAAAGTTCTGGCAATGCTGATCTTACATGGAAGCCATCAGCTACAGTTAAAAAGCAGAAACCACCTTTGGACAGGGAATGGACTCTGACAGTTTGCCATATTGTATCCCTGCACTGAGGGAAATTCATATGATAGAGTTAAAAAAAAAAGTGGAATATTTCTTGTAACCAAATCTTCATTGAAAGAAGAAAACAGGAACAATAGATGAAGAGGATGTATGTTTCTCTGAAGAAGTGAAGAACATTCAGTGCTGTTTAATATAACTACAAAGGATGTCTATAGAAAGAATAAATGAGAATTATGCAACGACTTCAGAGGACATTTGACTTTGCAATCCCTCTCCTGGTTCATCTGGACCCAACATTATAGGTGATGTTGAACAGCCTGAGTCTCCTTTAAGCTTTGAGTTACTGTAATAAACTCTCTGTAGCTGCAGCTGTTTGCTCCCAATTTTACCTTAGGGATCTAAGAAAAATTCCAGGACATGTTATGAAGTTTGTGCAGACCTGGTAAGACTTGATAAAGACCTGAAAGAAAATTCCCAAAATTTAAGTCCTTCCATCCCTTAATGTACTCTTCAGAGAACGTCAGCTTTCAAAGCACTTCCTGTCTTGTGTCTCACCTGATCAACACTAGGAAGTGGTCAGGGGTGGGATTCCATAGATGGAGACTACACTGGATAGTGGGGCCCAGGAGTCCAAGTGCCTTGCTGGGAATCACACACAGAGTCGGTGAGAAAGTGTGTACCAGACCCAGACCGCTCTGCCTCCCCGAGATCTTCTGGAGGGTGGATAGAGGAGGCAGATGGCGGGAGGAAAAAAAGCAGAAATGAAAAAGGGAGATCTAAAGAGAAGGAGCAGACTAGAAGGGGAAGTGAAGTGCAGAGGAAGGTAGAGATTGAGGGGTGGGGATAAGACAGTGGAAATAGCATAAGGGAAATGTGAGGGTCTTGTCTCCAAGAGGGATAAGCAGAGGCGGCATGTCAGGGGCTCTTGAGGAATCTCATTCAACCGAAGGCAAAATGAAGCCCAAGTAGTTTACCCGCGATGTCCAGCACTAGTGGTAACTAGAGCCAGAACCTCAGTCTCTTGATCCCAACCCAGGGATCTTTCTTTGGCCTGTCCCAGGGACTAGGGGCCAGTGGGCTAGGCACGCGGTGCGAAGGGCCGAGAGACAGACTCGAAAAGGCTAGAGGCAGGGAAGAGCAGAGGCCAACCACCGTACAACGCGGGTGGACGGAAGCTACGCCGAAGGCTGGAGCGCCATGAACTGTCAACGACTCAATGAGCCGGGTCCAAGCACTCCTGACAAATGACATTAAAAGGCAACTTAACCGCTTCCAAACCCATCCCACAGCTTCCGGTTCGAAGGCGGTGTCGGAAATGCCCCGCCAATACTCTGGGCATGGCATGGACGTCACGGCATGGATCAAACATCAAATGGCCGATGTTACGGAAGGGCCACAATTTGCTGAGGAATTTCAGAAATAGCGGAGATTACCGGAAAATGGTTAGGGAGCAGCCGAAATCAGCCGAGTGCCATTCGGGACTTTCCGGACCTTCTCGAGGCACATTCGGGGCCTCTCGGCTGTCTGCGATCTATTCAGGGGTCTTAGGTTTCTAGCAGATCGGTTCATCGCCTAAATCGTAAGGGCGACTTGTACCGACAGTCCCTCGGCAGTTTCCGGAAGTGCTCGGAACGAGCCCGAGAGTGGCGCCCTCTGGCGGCAGGCTTTGGTGGTGGTAGGGAACGGTGTAGGGCCGAGCGCGCAGATACAGTTGTGCGCCAGCGGCCGTTCAGACCGGATGTGGTTACGGCTGAGGTCATTTCCGGCGGGTGACGGTGCGGACGGGTCAGGAGCGTAGAGGCGGCGGCAAAATGGCGGCGCCTGAGGAGCGGGATCTAACCCAGGAGCAGACAGAGAAGCTGCTGCAGTTTCAGGTAGCAGCGAGTACTCGGTGCAGCAAATGCCGCCGTGGGATAGGGAATGGGCCCCTAGAGAAGCGCAGAAGCTTCCTCAGATTGAGCCCGGGATTCCTCTCAGACCAGCTTGCCGGCCCCCTCCCCCCAGACGCCAACTGCTCTGATTCCCTCAGACCCTGAGACTCTGTCAGTCCCCGGCCTTCCAGCCATCGCTGCGGCCAAACCCGCCTCTTCTGTGCCCCTCAGCGGGTCAGCATTCATGGTTTCCCTAGCAGCGCCAGCCGTCAACCATTCTTCCCAGCCCTGTAACCTACTGGTCGGACCCTTTCCGCGCAGCCACTGTAGATCTGCCTGAGACGCTTAATCCCCAACGCGGAATTGGCTTCAGTTCAGGTCTCTGGAAAACCTCCTACCAGCATCCCATGCCATTTCCACAAACATTTTTTGAGGGTCTGTTGGGTCCCAGGTGTTGTCTTGGGGTCTGTGGTGGGGCAGGGGCCACCTACACACAGGCCTGGCCCACGCCCTAGAGGTATGGGAGGACACCACGTAAGGAAACAATGCAGTAGTATAAGTATCATCAATGGCTTCTGACGGGTTTATTATTTTGGGCTTATTCTTGGACTCCTGTGATTAACTATACTTGAGGAGGATGGTAACTTGCAGGAATCTGCCTCCTTTTTAGTGGATGTTGTGTTAAGAACATTTGGCACTAAGTACTTACCTCTGCGCTGGCGATTCTGTTGGAGGAGACCGCTAGGGTGGGTAACCTTGGCTTTTTGTTATCAGTTTCCTTATTTCTAAAATGCACATCTTAAAAATGTTTACCCCCCGAGGATATTGTGGAGATCAGATGAGCTTATGGATGATAAAAGGGTTTTTGTGAACTGTAAAGTGCTCCCAAACAGTATTGTTGCTATTAATCATTATTTAACTTAAGTAGAACTAAAGTTAGTGATACATTTATTTCTTAATATAAAATGTGCTTACTATTCATTTATTCACCAGTATTTATAATGAACCTTAGTGCTCAGGCACTGGTAGGTAGAATACCATTTACTGAGTATTTAAGATGTTGTAAGTACTTTAATAAACACTTAGTATACATTATCATTTAATACAACTACTCTACGAGGCTCATACTGTTACAGTCCCTATTTTACAGATGAAGGATATGAGACTTAAATAACATACTCATGTTACACGGCTAGTAAGTGATGGTGTCCTTTAAAGCTGGGTCCACCTTTCCAGAACCTTTCTCAGGGTTTTGACTTCTGTGCTGTACAACTGATATAAGTATCAGTTGTACAGCTGAGAGTGGGAAGCAAATGCTGCAATATTAAATCTTTTTTTTTTTTTTTGTGAATTCTCACTTTTCTATAATTTCCTTGATTAGATTTCACCATAATTAATTTTGAAGTGTTTACTTTCCCTCTTAAATTGAGCAATAGGTTGGAAGTTTAAATGGGAAAATGCCATCACAGTGGTAGTTGACATTTGGTTGGAGTTTTTAGTGGAGAAACTGATAGCACAGCAGATTAGAGTTAGAGATTGAATAAACAGCAGACAAGCAGCTTCCACTTACTGGCAGACCACCAATTTCAGAGTTTTGTTTAACTTCAGCAGAGAATTTTACACCTTACAACTCTTCAGGGATAGGCCCCCATGTTGTTTAAGTGTAACGAGGTGATATGAGTTAGAAATCATGACGTACTTAATTTGGTACTGAAAGAACATGAACATGAATATATGGTAGCATTTCTGAGATAAAGTGCATAAGAGTCTCCATTTTGCCTTCATTGGACATCTATATCAGAGGAGAGGTGGGTAGCAGGTTAAAGTTATATTAAGATTGTTTTATGAAGTTGGATTTATGGAGGAGAATGCATTTTATATTTATGTGATCTATAAGCAGTCACTGGATCAGATTTATTATCCGGATTGCCATTAAATGTTCTTTGAACCTTTCTAGTGTCAAGCATTATACCAGGTAGATGATGTACGTTAACCCTTTGAAACCTTTTTTTTTTTTTTGGTGGCTGGCCAGATATGGGGATCTGAACCCTTGACCTTGGTGCAATTCCACTTCATTCTAACCAATTAGCCAACTGGCCAGCCCCTTAAACCTCTTAATAACACTGCAAAGGTTAGCCCCAATTCATTGTATTAATGAAGAAGCAGGTTCTGAGAGGTCAAATAACTTGCATAAGTAATAAGTGGCAGAGAGTTAGAAATTCAAATTTATAACAATCTTATCATATTTATAATCATCTTCTCCATTAACCTAATGGAGAAGCCAGGTACATATATGAATAATAATTATCCTGCAAGGTGTTAGTGCTCATAGTGTAATATGATATAACAAAAAGTGCTGTGGGAGCTTAGAGAAGGGTAGGAGTATTGATGGTGGGGATGGCTTAGTAGTTACCATTTATTAAGTATCTACTATGCCTTGGCCGTGGTGTTAGATAATTTATAACCACGATTCTTAATCCTCATAGTAGCCTTGTAAAGTACTATAAGTGGTATGCTCCCAGGTGAGGAAACAGATCTATTGATGTATTTGCTCAAAGTCATTAAGCTGCTAACTAGTGGAATTCTGGTAGGCCTGAATCTGGACTTAAAGGCTGGTGTGTTACCACTGCACCTTGCTACTTTGAAGGAGAAATAGAATTTCAACAGGTGGTGGGCAGGAGGATGTTCAAAGCTGAGGAAACATCTAGCACAAGATATGGAGATGAAGATGGAAAAGTGTGGAGTGTGTTGTGGATTTAGAGAATTCGGAGTGGAAAATGAGGCTGGAAAGGTAAATTAGAGTTAGATTTTGGAGGCCTTTCAAAGCTGTGCCCAATGGTTTAAGCTTTAATCTGTAGGCATGAGGAGCCATCGAAGGATTTTTCAACTAGGGAGTGACACAACACTAGGTTTCAGGTTTGCTTCACTAACAGAATGAAGCATGTGCTTGGAAATCTCCATAGGGGTCAAGACAGAACAAGGTGACACTGCTAGAAGCTGGTTCTCAGTATTTTTCCTCATTCGATATATCAAAATTAGTGAAAGTAAAATATTTTGGAAATCTTAAGTTTCCTCTGTTTCGGTTTTTTTGGTGACGTGATTTGACTGGAACTCCTGGAGGTATACTTACCATGTTTCTCAGTCCATTTGATGTCTTCTAAGATTTTTCTATAGATGTTTATTTCTTTTGTTTATTTTGGAACCAGTTGAGTATGAATAACTAATACAGACATTTGTTTTAAGCTATTTCAAATGAGAAAGAATAGGGATATAGGTTTTAAGAAGACCTAATGCAGGTATGTGGAAGGTTACTTTTACTGGAGTCTTGTTTTTCCACATTTCTAAATTCAGTAGACTCTAGTGCCTTGGTTTACTCTCACTAGGTTGCTGTTTGAACACCTGGAGAAGGATGACATAGACAGAGAACGTGGGGACTAAAGGAGCTAGTCACAGCCAGTGGAGGAGCAAAATTATCCCTTTTCTGCTTGTACAGGACTAAGAGATTTCTTTCCTTTTAAATGGGTGTTAGGGTATGGCCCTCATTCTCTTAAATTATGGAAACTAAAGCATGAACTATAGGCTGTAGAATCAAGTTTATAACTCATTTTGAAAATCTTCCTTTTGACTGTTACCTAAAGGCAGAGAACGTGGGGACTAAAGGAGCTAGTCACAGCCAGTGGAGGAGCAAAATTATCCCTTTTCTGCTTGTACAGGACTAAGAGATTTCTTTCCTTTTAAATGGGTGTTAGGGTATGGCCCTCATTCTCTTAAATTATGGAAACTAAAGCATGAACTATAGGCTGTAGAATCAAGTTTATAACTCATTTTGAAAATCTTCCTTTTGACTGTTACCTAAAGGAGAAAAAAAATACATGGTGCTTTTTTTTTTTTTTTTTTTTTTTTTTTTGATCGTAGAGCGATCTGTTTGAGTTTTTTTGCCAGGAAATTTGGCACTGTAGAGAAAACATGAACTTTGAAACTCCGGGCAAACATGAATGAGCTTTTCAGCTTCTGGAGAGCGTCTACAATCTTGGGCAAGTTCTCACTTCTTTGAATCTCTTTGTCTTCTATAAAATGGAGATACTATTATCTAATTCACAGCATTCTTTTCTTTTTACTTTTAAAAAAATCTACCAAGTAATATGTGCTTGTTGCAAATCAGCAGCATACAATTGTATTTTTAAAAAGCAATTAAATCTCATTTTATTTCTCTCATCCTAATTCCAAGCTTGTTGTGTTTCTTTGTATACTTTTTTCCTGCATGTACATATTAAAAAACGCTTAAAGTAGAAGCTCTGTTACTCTAATTTCCATTTGACTGATTAGTTGGAACAGATATTCCCCATTTCCTAAGGTCTACTCTCTAATATGCTCACGTGCTGCTCTCACCAGTTGAGTTGTGCTCTTCACAAGAGTCAATTATTTTTGCCCCTAACCAGTGTGTGCTGGTTATGTTTGTCATATAAATTTAATTGTTACATAAATCAATAAAATCCCAGTTCAAAAAGAGTTTTCATTTACATGAAAACTAAATGAAATGCTTTACAGAGGTTCTATAGGGTCAAGTTGTTGGGGAAAAAAATGCCACTCGGGTGTGGGCAAGATAACTGTAAATGACTTTGGGAAAAATCATTGAGATATAGGATTGTACACTTACTGCTTGGCAAGTGTTTAAGGTTGCACTTCACTTAAAGAAATAGAATTAGTGTGGTTTATGATAGATCTAAGGAATGCCAGTGGACCTATTCCTAAAGAAAAGAGTAGGATTTTATCAAAAGATTGCTGTATAAATGTGTATACTTTATGTTAAAATAAAATATTGAAGTAATGTATAGAATATTTTTATTCTGCACTTTGTCACTTCAATTAATTGGCTACTTACGGGTCTCATTCTCATTAGGTAAGAGAACTTCTGCTATATTTGTCTTATATAAATATGATCATATTATACTTATGTAAGTCAGCATAACATAGTAAGTGATCATGAAGATTGACTCTGGAGT